ATATACTGGAGATCGGTGCACCTGTGTATGAACTTCCAGCATAATATGCTGGAACTCCAACACACGGAAAGTTCCAGCATAATATACTGGAGATTGGAACAACTGTGTATGAACTTCCAGCATATTATACTGGACCAGTATATTATACTGGAACTCCAGTATATTATACTGGAGTTCCAGTATACTTATGCTGGAACTCCATTATAATATGCTGGAGTTCCAGTATACTTATGCAGGAACTCCAGTATATTATGCTGGAGATTTTTCGGATTTTGAACAGTGTTTTTGTTCAAATTTATCTTTACATGAAAAGTGACTAAATTTCGATTACTTTTGAAACTGTGACTATTTTTTTAATGAACACTTGTAAATCTGGCTATTTTGAATTTCTCCCGAAAATGGGGGTTCCTCAAATTAGGGAGACTAAGAATTCACCCAATAGTGATCATATGCAAGAAGTCATGGATAATATGGTTACCCATATTATCCGCCGCTTAACCCGTTTTTTATCCGTATTAAATATGGGTCTGATCGGATAATTTATCTGTTTTTTCATTACCCGCTTTCAACCCGAACCATATCCGACCTGACCCGCCCGTTTGCTACTCCTATACATGACCGTGTGATAGATTCCCACTGATACCAGCTAGTTGAATGGATTTGGCAAATTGGAATGACGATATTTTAAGTAGTTGGAATATATAGGAGTATCATCGAGGGTGTAATTATTAGATGTTGAGATCCCTTCACTTAGAATCGCGAATTATGAGAATGGAAAACTACTTTCTTGGTAGGGAGCTAAAGGGTTTTACCCACCTTAATTGGGTCATGAGTGTAAAAATTCATTCGAAACTGGAAGGCCAAAATCAATACAGACAAATCCTACGGTATCTCTGTGGAGGCGGCAATTGAAACTGATCCATGTGAACTGGCTAGGTTTTATAATACATATAGATGATCAGATAATACTCATTCTGAATACACTGACTCTTGATCATGGATATGCATCTAGAGCGTCTCTTCTTCAGTTGTCAAGTTTGCTGCCACTAAAACCAAATGAGGATATTTTTTTTTTAATATGGGCATGAATATTTTTTATAGGGCTATTTCCCTAGACATGGTGCTAATTAACCGGCCTAATATAGGTTTGAAAATAATTACTAGCTCTAACAACTCTAACCGTGTCGGAAATAATCAAACGTAAATCCAGAATGCACTCCAGTATAATGTCCAGAGTCATTGCTTCTTTGCTGTTTGTTTTATGAAAATTCACAGATTTATACTCATGTCAATTAATCACAGCTAATCCATTAACCTCTAGCTACCTGATATCCAAATTTCAAATATCCTGGTTACCACATTATTTTTTCCCTTTCAATTGATTAGTAAAGTTATCCTACCTTCCAAAATTGTTTATGACCGTGATTACGTAATGAAAATAAGAGTAACTACCTCTCTGTAACCATTCACTATAAAAGCCAAAATTTTCTCAGAACCGATTATTTAAGTTATATTTTACCTCTCTATAACAGCTTCTTACCTATAACAAATCCGAGTAGAGATCTAGACTAAATCGCAATTGCATGCAATGAAGAAGAAGAAGAACATAGCTGAAAAAGAAGAGAAATGAGGAAGAAGGTTAATTCTGTTATTCTGCAAAACTAACTCAGTTAGTGCAGAGTATCTGATTTCATACAATCCCTGAGTCACGTGTGTGATAAGGGTAAAAAGACTAAAATATCCTTGCCAACTAACATAACTACCAAGTCTTCAATACTCCCCTCAAACTGGAGGGTGGAAGACATCCAACACTCCAAGCTTGGAAACTAATGATTGATGTTGAGCTGCAGGTAGATCTTTGGTCAGCAAATCTGCAAGTTGCAATGCAAAACTAACATGGTGTGGTGTGAGGAGCCCAGATTTGATTTTCTGTCTGACAAGGTGACAATCTATTTTTATGTGCTTGGTCCGTAAATGAAAATGTGATGACCCAAAAGGTCATCTCGTGTTTTAGGAGTTAAATCTATGTTCCGAGGCCTTAAAAACCTCCTTTTGTTTCACCTCTATTTGCGTGCGCAGTCCGGGCGCATATCCGGAAAGCCCTTATGCGAAATTTTGAGAAAATGCTAAGTTTTGCCTTTAAAATAAAATTAAGTTGACTTCGGTCAATATTTTGGGTAAACAGACCCGGACCCGTGTTCCGATGGTCCCGTAGGGTCCGTAGTAAAATATAGGACTTGGGCGTGTGCCAGGAATCGAATTCCGAGGTCCCTAGCCTGAGGAATGAATTTTTAAAAAAAATTATTTGCTGGAAAATATAAAGACTTTTGGAAATGAAATGGTGTATGCTGTTGATAGTAGCGGGCCCGTATTTTGGTTCTGGAGCCTGGTACAGGTTTAAAATAATATTTAAGTCGAACTTGTGAAATTTGGTAAGAATCGGAGTTGATTTGGTATAAATCGGACCTTTAGTCGAGAAAATGGAAATTTCAATGTTCTTGAGAATTTTATGAATTTTGGTGCTAAATTCATAGTTGTTGATGTTATTTTGATGATTTGATTGCACGAGCAAGTCCGTATGATGTTTTTAGACTTGCGTACATGTTTGGTTTGGAGCCCCGAGGGCTCGGGTGAGTTTTGGGTAGGCCACGGAGTGATTTGGACTTAGGAAAATGCAGTTGTGCATCTGGTATTTTTGCACAGGCCTCTGATCTCGCAATTGCGAGATCAGGCTTCGCAATTGCGAAGTGGTCAGGCCTGGGAAATGCGACCCTATGTCGCAAATGCGAACCAGGCCTGGGCAGACCCTCATCGCAAATGCGAACTCTGGGCTGGAAAATGCATAGTCCCTTACATCGCAAACACGACGTTTTCTTCGCAAATGCGAAGATAGAAATAGCAGGATTTCAAAGGGTTCGTAATTGCGAACCCCTGATCGCAATTGCGATAACTACACCCGTTAAGTGGGATTTTATACGGGATTTTCATATCATTCTTCAAAATTTTAAAACCTAAACTCTTAAGGGCGATTTTTCAAGAGCAAGTTCTTCCCTAAATCATAGGTAAACGATTTCTAACTCATTTTCTTCGATCTATTTCATCTTTTCACATGATTTCACTTCAAAATCTAGAGTTTTTCATGGGAAATTGGGTGTTCTTGGGTAGATTTAGGATGTTTGAATTTTGGGGATTTGGACCTCGATTTGAGGTCCGATTTCAAAACAAATTCCATATTTGAGTTCGTGGGTGAATGGGTGATCGGGTTTTGGTTCGAACTTCGAGTTTTGACCAAGCGGGCCTGGGATCGGGTTTTGAATTTTTGGGGAAATCACTGGGAAATCTATCTTCATGCATTAGAATTGGTTTATTTAGCATTTATTGATGTTATTAAGTAAATTATGACTAGATACAAGCGGATTGAAAGTGGAACCGAGAGGTAAAGCGGTAATTGAGGCTTGATTTTTGTCCGTGGAATTGAGGTAAGTGTTTGGTCTAACCTTAGCTTGAGGGAATATGAGTTGTGGTCTTAATTGCTACGTGTTAGTGTCGAGTACGACGTATATGCATGGTGACGAGTATCTATACGTTAGTGTCAAACAAGCCTGTGAGTCTTATACCATGATTGTTGTGACTCTATTGTGTATTGTCCATGCTTAGGTTGATGATTATAAATGTTGAACATATTTCATGTTAATTCCTTGGTAATTGACCATTGTTGAGTATTGGCTCAAGTTGGGATTTGTTTTGTGAAGTAACTGTTGGAACGAAATTGGTTATAGCTGATTCCCTTGCCGGAATGTTATTGTTCATATTGTTGATTCCCTTGCCGGGAGGTTATTGTTTAGATTGTTGATTCCCTTGCCGGGAGGTTATTGTTTATATTGTTGATTCCCTTGCCGGGACGTATTGTTTCTACTGTTTGAGTGAGGAAGAGTGTAAAGCACGAAGGGTGATACCGTGCATGATATTGTGAGTGAGTGTTAAAGCACGAAGGGTAATGCCGTGCCGATATTGTGAGTGTTAATGCACGAAGGGTGATGCCGTGCCATGATTATGAGAGTAAAAGCACGAAGGGTGATGCCGTTCCAATATTGTGAGAGTTAATGCACGAAGGGTGATGCCGTGCCATGATTATGAGAGTTAATGCACGAAGGGTGATGTCGTGCCGATTCTGTTGATTCTTATGGTAAGGACGAGAGTAAAAGCACGAAGGGTGATGCCGTGCACGTGTTACTGTTATCCTTATTCCTGTTGATATCATTATGGCGTTCTTTATGTTTCTCTATTGAATTCCTGTTAAGTATTTGATATCCCCCGCAGCATGCTTCCCTTCCCATCTTATTCTGTTATTTCCTGTTTTTATTATCCGTTTGTATATGATTTAACTGCACATGTTTATATGGTTGTCGTGTCCTAGCTTCGTCACTACTTCACCGAGGTTAGGCTCGACACTTGCCAGTACATGGGGTCGGTTGTATCGATACTGCACTCTGCACTTTCTGTGCAGATTTCGGTGCTGGACCTCGTGAGTAGATCGTGGGTTGCTGCCTTCAGTCCATAGGAGACCCGAGGTAGATCTGCCGGCGTCGCAGACTCCGGAGTCCCCTTCCTTATGTTTTGATATACTGTCTCTTTTCATTTCGAGAACAGTTCTACTTTTCTTTCTAGACCAGTGTTTGTAGACATTCGTAGATGTTCGTGAAATTGTGACACCAGATTCTTGGGTAGACATGTATTGGAGTATTTGAATTTGTTATGACATCTTCCGCACTTTTCATCTGCTTAGTTTTAGTTACTGTTTATTTCTGTTTGGGTTGATCGCTATTGTGTTAAAATCATAGTAGTTGGCTTGCCTAGCTTTCACGAGTAGGCGCCATCACGACTCCCGAGGGTGGAAAATTCGGGTCGTGACAGGAAAATAGGATTCGCAGTAATTTGAATGGCTGCCTTGTTGTCACAGAACAGTTGGACTGGTTTAGAAACTGGTATCTCTAATTCTTCTAGAAGTCCTGATAACCAAGAACTTCTGCTGTCACAGCTACCATACTTCTATATTCTACTGCTGCTGAGCTCCTGCTAACTGTTTGTTGCTTTTTTGATTTCCATGAGATTAAAGAGCTTCCTAACTTGACAATATAACCTGTCACTGACCTCCTAGTATTAGGACAGGCAGCCCAGTCTGCATCACAGTAGGCAGTTAATTTGTCAACTGGCCTTGCATGTAGAAGAACTCCTTGACCTGGTGCTCATTTTGATGTACTTAACCACTCTCAAAGCTGCATCCATGTGAGATTGTTTTGGAATTTGCATGAACTGGCTTAATGTTTGTACTGCAAAGCTAATGTTAGGTCGTATGATTGTCGAATATAAGAGCTTCCCAATTAGCTTCTGGTATGCAGTAATGTCCTTCAAATCTGGATCTCCCAGCTTTCCCACATAAGCATTATATTCTACTGCGGTGAGCTTTTGATTCATCTCCGAGGTGTTGAAACAGGTTTAGACCCACTCAAACCAACACTTGAAATTAATTCAAGTGCATATTTTCTTTGATTCAGTAGAATGCCCTTTTGTGATCTAAGGACCTCAATGCCAAGGAAGTATCTTAGCTCACCCAAATCCTTCACTTTGAACTGACTTTGTAATGTCTTCTTAGCATCATCAACTAGTTTAGGACTGCTGCCAGTGATCAGCAGGTCATCTACATAAACAAGTATGATGACCAAATCTGGACCTTGCCTTTTGCTGAACAAGGAATGATCATAATTACTCTGCAAATAACCATGTGTAACCAATGCATCTGTCAGCTTAATGTTCCATTGTCTTGATGCCTGTTTCAATCCATAGAGTGACTTTAGTAATCTGCAAACTTTCTTCTCCCCCTGTTTGTGGAAGCCTTGTGGTAATCCCATGTACACTTCTTCACGCATGTCCCCTTGTAGAAAGGCATTATTCACATCCATTTGGTGCAGATTCCACCCTTTTGCTGCAGCAATGCTAGTGATAGTTCTAACAGTTACCATCTTTGCTACTGGGGAGAATGTCTCATGGTAGTCTAATCCCTCCTTCTGATTGTAGCCTGTAGCCACTAATCTGGCCTTGAATCTTTCCACCTCTTCATTTGCTTTATGTTTTATCTTATAAACCCATTTTGATCCAATAGCCCGCTTTCCTGGTGGTAGATCTACCAGCTCCCATGTGTTATTTTCTTCTAATGCATTTATCTCTTGCTGCATTGCCTCAATCCACCTTCTATCTTGGGCAACTTCCTTAAAAGAACTAGGCTCAATGTGTGCTGAGAAAGCCATCAAATATGATTGATAACCTGCAGTGAGGTTAGCATATGAGAGTCCTTGAAAAATGGGATATAGACTATTTCTCGTGAATTTCCCTGGTGTCACATAGTCTTTCAGCAATATAGGTGGTCGAGAGATCCTTCCTGATTTTCTAACATCCACTGCATCTTCTTCTGGTGATACGCCTTCAGCTTCCTCAACTGCATCTACAGCTAAAGGCTCTGAATTCATGCTGATGTCTGTCTCTTCCTGATTCACTGGTGGCAGTTGATCAGTACTGTCTGCAGCCAATTCTTCATGTAAATGCCCTTGTGGTTCTGTGTGTGTGATATCAGGGGAATGAGACTGAGAAGTATTGGGATTGACGGATATTTCAATAGGTGTTAGCTCTGGAGGATCTTGTGGGAATGTGTCATCTAAATCTGAAGCCATTCCTTTGAAGGAAATACCTGTTCTCTGAAAACAACATCTCTGCTCACTAGAAATGTTCTGTTCTCCAAATCATATAATCTGTAACCCTTTTGAGTTTCTCAGTAACCTATCAATACAACTCTCCTAGCTCTTGGAGAAAATTTGTCTGATCTGGGTAGAGTGCTTGCAAAACATAAACATCCAAAAACCTTCAGATTCTCAATGCTTGTTGGCTTCCTATAGAAGACCTCATAAGGTTATTTCTCTGACAGAACAGAGGTTGGCCATTTGTTTATCAAATAAACTGTTGTCTTAACACAGTCACCCCAGAATCTATTTGGTAAAGAGCTCTGAAATTTCAATGCTCTAGCTATTTCCAGTATATGCATGTGTTTCCTCTCCACCACCCCATTTTGTTGGGGTGTGTATGGGCAACTACTTTGATGCACTATGGCTAATGAACTCAGTAACTCATTACACTTTGAATTAAAGAATTCAGTACCATTGTCTGATCTTAATCTTTTTACATTCAGGCCAAATTGTTTTTGCACCATAGTAAAGAAGTCCTTCAACACAACAAATACTTCACACTTTGACTGTAACAAACATATCCAAGTATATATGTTAAAGTCATCAACCAATGTTACAAAGTAATATTTTTTGTCATATGTTAGTATCCTGTGAGGACCCCAAACATCTACATGCACTAGTTGAAAAGTCTGTTCTGTATTAGTGCTACTAAGTTGGAAAGTAAGTCTATTCTGCTTAGCTAAAAGATATACTTCACAACTGTGTTGTGTCTTGGCATCTATCTTATTCTTTAGTAGAGGAATATGTGCATATTGCAACAGTTGAAGGATGACCTAATCTGAGGTGCCATAGTGCTGGATCTTCCTACACTTGCGTAATGCTTTCTGCTATAGCTAGGAATTCCTTATTGATCTCTTTCTTCAACAGATACAAACCATTGTGTTCTTTACCAACCTCCAGAACCTTCCCACTGTAGAGACCCTGAAACACATAGAAATGAGGGAAAAGTGCAGCACAACATGATAGCTCCTTAGTCAGTTTAGATACTAACATCAGATTGAATTTAAAGTCAGGAACATGTAGTACATCTTTCAGTGTCAATTCTTCTAATATCTTCACATTTCCTGTATGTGCTACATGATATCTCCCTCCTGTAGGAACTTGCACAGCACTATTATTCTGGTTTTCAATCTTTCTTACATTGTCTAGTACTTCCTTATAAGGTGTAACATGATGTGAGGCACCAATGTCTATTATCCAATCATAGTTAAATGCCTTGGACGAAAAGAAGTTATACCTGTCATTAAGGTATGACATTCACCTGGATCAGGATCTGGCTTGTTTATGAGGCTCAACAGTTTTTTGTATTGATCTTCTGTGAAGAAATGCCCTTGCATCTGAGATGTAGTGTCAGAACTTCCTCCTTCTCCTGCTGATACATTAGCATATCCTTTCACTCCAGTGTTCTGAGGCTTCTTCTTGCTTTTAAAATCTGCTGGATAGCCTATGATCTTATAACAGTTCTCCTTCAAATGGCCTTTGTAACCATAGTAATCACATATGAGACCTGGTTTCCTTGTAGCCTTGAAACCCTGTCCCCTTCCAGCTGGCATAGTTAAGGGTTCCTGTCTGAATTAGTTACACTAAGTGTACGTTGACTCTCCTCCTAAATTGCGCATACGCTTGATTCACAGTCAATACAGGTGTTTTCAGAAGAATCTGACTTCTCACATGACTGTAACTCTCATTCAAGCCAACAAGGAATTGTAACAAGCGTAAATTTTTGAACTGATCTAGAAAAGGTCTAGTCTCCTCACAATCACACCCTGCTCCTAGTACCATTAGATCCACTTCATCCTACAAATCCTTCATTTTAGTGTAATAGGTTGTTATAGAGTCTGTGCTTTGCCTTAGAGTTCCTATTGTTGTCCATAAGTGATAAATCTATTAAGGTTTGATTTGTTAAAACGTTCCTTAAACTCATTCCATACCTTCCTCGCATCAGATGCATAGATGATGCTAGGCTGTAATTCAGCAGATACAGTGCGACTAATCCATGAGAGCACCACAACATTACATCATTCCCATTGATGCCCCAATTCACCTATGTAAGAGCTTTTCAAACAGGTTCCGTCGATGAACCCTAACTTATTTTTCACCAACAATGCCATTCTCATCGATCTGCTCCATAACGCATAATTTTCTGGTCCTGTAAGCTTGATATCAATCAATGTTATCCCAGGAGTGTCTGTTTGTTGTAAAAACAGTGGGTGATTGTGATTAATTTGCAGAATTTCAATTTCCGCCATGACAGACCAGCTCAAGCTTCAACAATGGCTGTCAATTGGAATTTTGAAATCCTTGATCTAATCTCGAATCGCCCGCTCTGATACCATGACAAAATCCGAGTAGAGATCTAGACTAAATCGCAATTGCATGCAATGAAGAAGAAGAAGAACATAGCTGAAGAAGAAGAGAAATGAGGAACAAGGTTAATTCTGTTATTCTGCAAAACCAACTCAATTAGTGCAGAGTATCTAATCTCCTCACACGAGTCACGTGTGTGATAAGGGTAAAAAGACTAAAATACCCCTGCCAACTAACATAACTAAACTAACATAAGTACCAAGTCTTCAGTAAACAACAACAACCATATTTATAGCAGAACGTTCTTTGTAAAATTACCCCTCTATAACAGCCATATAGGATATTTAAGATTACTAATAATAATTCTAAAAATATGCATACAATCATATCCATCAAATAAAGTTTCTATCTTGCATAAGATATAAGATTTGAAGATTTGCACCTGATATCTTTTTTATTGGACAAATTCCAAAAAATATTTATAGAAAATTTAATTGTTAAGCTTTTAGATTAGATTGTCTTCAAGGAAAAACTATTGGGTACCTTTTTGCTGAAAATTTGGACACGAATCTTCACTAATTCAAGCGTTATATTGCTAGTAAGAGAATGAAATCTACAAAACAAGCAACAATTACGACGTTCTTCCATTAATCTTGAAAGAATTTATTTTTCTAGGTAGCTTTAAAATATCTGCCTTAGAGTTTAAATCTTTATACGTTTAGTTATGAACTTATTAATAATGTATTATCTTTCTTCAATATTTAGCTAGTGAAATATGCATATCTTTTAAGATTTTAAGTTTGAATAATTTTCTTATCTTTTATATCTATTAAAAAGGAGAAATAGTCAATTTTTAGATAATTTTTATCTATAACAGCTAAAAAATATTTCACCCGTCAAATGTTGTTATAGGTGTATAACAGCCATGCATTATAAAAGCCAAAAAATACCGGAACAAATGAGGCTGTTATAGAGAGGGTTGACCGTAATTAGTTGAAGTGTCTGAATCTCAAATTCTAGAGAGATCTCCTTATTCGAACATTAGGAAAGAAGCTTATCACTTTCTGGAGGAGAAACTAAGACCTGTTGGGTTCTATGCGTGGAAAGTAGGGGAAGAGTCTGATTCAAAAGCGTCTGTGATAGATCACGTCGAACTGGAGAAAACCTGCTTGGCTTTGGTTTGGGTAAGGCGGAAATTGAGGCATTACATGCTGTCTTACCCAGTACATTTAATAGCTTCCATGGACCTACAAAAAAAGTCTTTGTTCGAGAAACCCGCCTTACTGTTGGAGCGAATTGGATGATCGGGCCGAGGGCTGCCCCCTCTTCCCCTTACTCTCCTGGGCTTATCGCTTCTCCTACTGCTGCTCCCGG